GTTTAGGTGTCTCACCGCTTGGGTGAAGTTGTATTCAAGCCATTGTTCGACACTGGTATTTAAGAACTGTGTTGCATTTTTATTAGGAATCAGTTTTAATTATTTATGTAATTTATAATAGTTTTTTATTTAAATTTTTTTAAAATATAAAATTAAATTTTAATTTTTAATTCACTATATATTTATTTAAAATTTTAATTAATTATAAATTATGGAGTTATGCATGAAATACAAACAAAATCTACTTACGCCTAACAGCATTGATATATTTTTCTATATTTATCAGCTCGTGGTTATGTACGGATCAAAACGTGAGATGGGATGCTCACTTTACCATCTTCTTTCTCGGTGACCCTACAGGGAAAAAAAAAAGGGTTCAAAAAGCCGACCCGGAGCTCCATTAGAGGAGACTTTGACCTCCAACAAAAGGCCTCTACGACCACACAAAAATTTACAGCGTCTAGAGGACAAAAAAAAAAAAAAAAGCAGTAGCCACATATGCCCATTACCCACATATAATCATTTCCAAATTCAAATCTGAAAATTTCGTTGTTGTTATATTCAAACCAATATATGATTATGCTCAAAATGAAAACCCAAATAACGATAACGCTGACAAATATCATACTAATTATATTACAAATAATAACCTCAACAACAACACTATTTCTGGTACATGGCGTAGCAAGGGCAGCCCGGCCCGTTCCTTCCCCGGTTTTCATGTACGGGAAGACTTTACTCTTACTCCTGTTGCTGATGCATTGGGTTTTTAATATTTAATTAAGTTTATCATTTAAAAAAAAAAAAAAAAAAAACAATACTTTTCTGGTAGAAAAAGTGATAATAAAAATAATCATAGTAATAAGTAATCATGGAGAAACTAATAATCTATATCTATACCAAGAGCAGGAGCTCTTCATTCTGAGCATTTCATTTGGTGGTGCCGTTGGGTAGGCTGGTAGATGCTGCCTTAGCAGGGTTAAGTTCATCCCAAGACTCAATCCATGTGACCATTGCATCCGCAAGTTTAATGAAGTAAGGGTCTGTCTTTCCAAGCTTATCTTTCACGTACTTAGCGAGCTCAATGTAACACTTCTGAACGGTAGTGCATTCCGGTGGAAGGGTGACAGCTTGAAAGAAAGGGATGATTTCTTCTTGCCAGAAGATACCATTGTACTCTTTTTTCAGATTGACAAATGGATTGCTTGCCTTGCTGTGCCATATGTAGGGCAAACCGGTCTTCACCCCCCATCCCATGTGGTCGCATATAACCTACAATTTCATCCATGTCAAATAAGCATTTTAAAACAATCAAATCAATCACAATGAACCAGTGATTCCATTAATATTGGATCGAAAAACATTGATCTTGTCATTCGCTTCTACTTAATAATTTAGAACAAGAGGAAGAATAGACAATTCGCACAGAACATTTACCTTCATGCACCAACCAGCCCACATATCGTCATATCTTCCAATTGGTTGTCCATGACCCATAAGTCCAAAGTACATTGCTGGTCCGATGAGTTCCCGATTGAATGCCAAATTCATACCGCACATGGGGAACAGAGTACCCCTTGGGATTGTCATCACCGCATCAACATATCTACAACCAATGGAGAACAAAAAATGAGAATTAATGCATACGACAGTTTCAGTCTTACTAGTTTAGTTTAAAATGGCAAATAACTAATCTAGGAGTTTGGTATATATACCTTGTGTTTCTCTCATGAGGCTTCACAAGCTGGGTAGGAGCATCATAGTCAGGGATGTTGAGCCAGAGGCCATGAGAGACAGCCGTCGGGACACCCTCACGAAGACTAAAAGGATATCCACGTACAAAGTCTGCACCTTCTCTGTATGGATCATAAAGGGTGTTGAAGAAATTTGGAGTTGATGGTGACAGCAGGTTCTTTATGTGCTGCTCTAGTGCATTGATATCTTTTCCAGAAGGGTCTTTAGCCACCTATAAATTATAAAATGAAGATGAATTCATATGAATGTGTTAACTGTTTGGATGCATATGCAAACAGGGAGCGGAGACAGCTGAAAGGTATAAATCAACCAAGTGACTGTCTAACTCAAAGATGCCTCAATTTCATTTTTTCTTGCTAGAAACTAAGAACAGAGAGAGAAGAAGAACACAGATCTAGCAGGATAATTCAATGCTATCATAAGTTAAAAACAGAATTCTAACCAGGAATGACTAGTAGAGCAAAACAAGAACCAAACTCCACCAATCTATGATAAACAATGTAAATAAAATCTACATATGATAAAGATCTATAAAACGATTCTACCTAAAACTCAAATTCACAGGAGAAATTCTCATTCAGTCTATGTTTGGAACATAGTCAAAAAGTCAAACTTTCACACAAACATATAGTAAAATCATGTCCAAATCCCACCAAAAATTATCAGATAACTCCCCGGCTGTACAAACCCACAGAGTTACAATCAAACAAGGAAAGATCCGAATCTGCCAAAGATAAAACACGCACCGGGTTGTTCCATTATTCAAATATCAGGAACAGAACCTTAATAATCAGCCCTAAGAACCAAATTTAGGTGATCTTTTTCCAATTACCAAAAATTCAAAATTACTTCCCTTCAAACGCCGTTTCTCAGCAACGAAACAAAACGCATCAAAAAGGTATCCACAAAATACCGTTTAAATAAAAAGAACGAAAGGTAAAGAAACAGATCAAGTGAAGACAAGCGACTTACGAAACAGTCGTCATCTATAGTGAAAATATACTTCTTCTTGGAAACCATGTAGCCAAAGCACCGACAGGCAGAGTCCTTAAACGAAATGCAAGAAGCTTTAGGACCCAGAATCCTGTTAATGTCGTTCCTGTTGTAGAGCTCGTAATCAAATCCCTCAGGAACTTTGATGGTCTTTGATGGGTCACCATCTTGGACGATGATCAGATGGTACGGCTGGAAGAACGGCCTCCACATCTCCAAGAAATCCAGGTTCCGGATCGTGGGTATCACTATATCCAGTTCATCTTTCAACAATGGTGTAGGTTTCAACGACGATTGCGCCATTGTTGAGAGACAGAGGGTGACGAGAGAAGCAGGAAAAGAGGGGAGTTGTAGTTGTAGTTGTAGTTGTAGTTGTAGTCCAAAGAGTTAAAGGGAGATTTGTCTTTGCGTTTATAGAGGGTTCTAAAGATTGTTTTTTTGAAACACAAATTTATAGTGTTGGATTCCCCAGTTCGGTTCGGATCCGCCCCGAATTTGAGCCTGATTTGATGTGAATATAACTGTATAGGCCTAAAAATGTTGGTATGTTGTTTGTGTTATTTTTAATTATTTGATTTTTTTTATTAATATTTTGTTTTTTTATTTTTTAAAAATATATGTATTACAATACCTGTTAAATATTATTAGTAAATTTGTTACATAACATTAAATTTGATACGCAACTATTAAATATTATTAGTAAATTTGTTACATAATATTAATTTAAATGTACATTTGTTATTGGTTAAATAAATTTTTATATTAAATAGCTAAAATATAAAAATATTTTAATTATTTTTAATAAAAAACTAAAAAAAAATTATATTTCTCTTCATTTTAAAAGCAAAAAGAATTTATCTTTTATTTTTATTATATTAAAAAATAACTAAAAATTAAAATATTTTTATATGTTAATGGTCACGTAACAATTCACTCAACCATAAATATTAACGTGTCTAAGTAAAATGATTAAAAGAACAAAAAATTAGTATGTTAATTAATTTAAATATTTAAAAATAACATTTATGTTATTATAATGTTTTAAATAGTATTCAACGTTGTTAATGTGAATTATAATTGAATGAGATATGTATATATATATATATATATATATGTAGGGTAAAGGGTAAGTAGAAAAGAATAGTTAAAATTTCAAACATTCTTAATTTTAATGGCTTTAATAATTGCATGCAGCTTTTCACGTTACCAGCTGCCTTGGTGTTTGAGTTAAAACTAAGCATATGATCTCGATATTATATATAATAATAATAATAATTAGTCTAATTCAGTTGGAAAAAAAGTTAAATCCTTAATGATTTCAAATTAGTAAAATTTGATAGCGTTATGTGCAGCCCATTTGGTGCTTCAACTCTAGGGAACTGCACAATTTTCTCTCCCCCAACTTCCTCCCATCTGCACCGACCATATAAATATTAATCAAGAAATTTTTGTTAAAAATATATATATATATATATATATATATATATATGTACTGAACCTGTATTTTGTAACAAAATAGTGAAGGAATGTAGATATTTGAGCAATGCCTATTTCCTTTCCGGGACACAACCTGCTTCCAGCTCCAAATATTAAGCAGTACTTGTGAGACTGCATGTTATTTTCCTGCGCTCAATTTTACAATTTCTTGATTAGATTAATTCTAGATTCAAACACCCATTAATCAGGTTAAGACTTACTCACCAGCCATCTCCACGGATTAAACCTGAAAGGCTCTGGATATATGTATGGGTCATAGTTTATTTCCCTGGTATACACGTATATTCTCCATCCTTTTCGTATAACAAAACCTGAAAATTAATACATACATATATCTCTTGGAAATTTCTTGAATTCAAAATTTATATATTTTAGTAATTAATTAAGCGATAACTATACACGGTGATAATATATAACTTTTAAGGAGTTTTATTGCCTACCATTCAATTCGACGTCTTGGGTAGTCTTTCTTAGTACTCCATTGACAACTGTAGCCAATCTAGAGGTTTCAAAAATCACCTGTACATCAAATATATATATATATATATATATATATATGTTGAAACTTAAACTGGTATATGTATAATCAAAATTAAATAAACAAATTGTTAGATGATTATATTTGTTGCTCACTGCGCGAGTGAAGGTCATGGACTTGTAGTCATCCCAGTCAATTGCATCCCCTGCCTTTTTCCTTTTCTGTATAGCCAAATGCTCTTCCTAACCCAGTACAAGATATATATATATATATATATCAGTAAATCTATATCTTAGAGCCAGACAATAAAGCTGATGTAATATAAATATCTATAAAGAATTATCTCGACTTCTTTTTCATCAGGTTATAATAAAAATAAAAATATTAATTATGATGTTTTGTACTATAAATTAAATAATTTTAAAACCTAAAGATATTGTTCTTTAAAAATTTAAATCCAAATTATCAATAATTATATATTAGAGTATCATTTAAAAATATAATTTTTTATTTAAACATCATGAATTTGAATCTCACTAATATATAAATTATTTTTTAAGTATATTATGAGATTAATTATAAAATTTAATTTTGACGAAAATAATATTTTCTTACAAATAAATTTTATTAGTTTTGATGACTATAATAATAAGATGCATAATTAAATAATTCAATATTTAAAAAAAAAAAATTATTTACTAAAAGATCACACTGATTCACTTACTCGGAGTTCTTGAAGAACTTGAGGATTGTCGTGAAGGTACTTGATGGCCATCATCGAGGTAGTCGAGACAGTTTCATAACCCGAATTTAAAATTGTAATGACTTGATCAAGTATCTCCTCATCACTCAGATTGTATTTTGAATTTTCCTCTCTCATAAGTTGGTCTAGCATGTCGTTATGCAATATTGTATACGATGAGTTTCTTCTTTTCTCCATGATTTCTCTCAAGATTTTAATAACCCTTTTCCTCGCCTGTAACATGTTCATCACCAAAGAAATACTAAACAATATTGAGCAAGAAATTCAGACATATAATTATAATAACTAAGGCTTAGATAATTTATACAACCTGAACCCCACGGTGATAGTTTGTGCCTGGAATGTTGATGGGAAGTGATAATGTTCCTAACACCAGCTTATCAAACTCTGTTTTGAATCTTTCATAGAACAAACTTGATTCTCCTTCAACAATTTGTTTCAAGGCCATTAACAGAGCCATCTGAATGAAAGATAACCAAAATCCAAAAGCCAAAATCAGTTTTTATTCGTGCCATATACAACAGAAGCTTATTATAAATATATGAACCCTCTTTTTATTCACACCCTCTATTTAGACAAAAGAGCTGACCTCGGTGGTTTTTTGTTGGATATCAATGGTTCTGGCTTCCCAATTGTCAAGGAATGATCTAATGAAGGAATCTGTTTTGAGCAGCAGATGGTCTTTAATGGCGGAAGGGGCAATAAGGGATAGCAATGAGCCTCTAATAACCTTGTGAGCCGAACCATGCAAGGCTGCAATATTGGATTTCCCAAGAATGTCAAGCATGGACTGTGGATAGCCTGGAACGAAACCTTTTTCTTCATTCATGAGTATGTATCTGTTGAGTTTTGGGTCAGTACAGATCACTGTAGGGCAGCCCAATATGTGTGTCTTGAACAAACTACCGTACCTGTCAATATTCATGCCTTACTTCATAAGTACATCTTGGAAAATAATGAATAACGATTCAGATATAGTGGAAAACAAAACTTGGGTTTTGGTGGGAATATGATTAACATAAAGATTTTATGAAGAAACCCCTTGCAACTGAAGCCAAAAAAAAAAAAAAAAAAAAAAAAGAAAGATGACCTTGCTCTCTGGTTCTTTATAAAGTTTGGTCCTTCAGAAAGAAACTCAGTTGTCTCCCCAAAAACAGGCCAACCCATTGTACCAGAAGGCAAGCCTGTTGTGTTGTATGTAATCTCATTCCATCTGAGAAGAAAGAAAACGAAACACACGCAAAACGACAATGCAATCAACCCACAAACCACCACCAACAACACAGCCATCGATTCGTATGAGTCTTCTGCTAAGGTTTCTTCTTTATGAGTCAGAGGAATATTGAGTTTATGGGTCTCGCTGCAAAATATTAAATAAAAAGGGGGGGAAAAAAAAAAGGAGAAAATAATCTCTTGAGCAGAAGTAGATAGAGACAGAACGAAATACTACTATGAAAGCCAAAACATTGCACCCATCTAGTGAAGCCTATTATGACATGCAATCTGGGCAATACTAATAAATGCTGGTTAATGTTCTAATGATATCAGATTTTATCATAACTTTTTGGATCCTGAATATTACTCTTCAGATTTGGTTACTACAAAGACAAATTTTACAATTTCATGAAGAGATTTGTGAGCATCATCTCTTCAATGGTTGACTAAATCATCCCTTTAGATTACTTCAGATTTTCTGATCTCATCACCCCTTTTTGTTTTTTCTTTCCTGGTTTACAAATATTATAAGTTTTTTTTTTTTTAAAGTTTGCTTTTAATTCTTTTTGTTTAAAATTATTGAAAGTAATTATACCAATTTTGAATTATTTTGTATAAATATTAGTAAAATTTTATATATAAAATATTTATATTTATTAACAATACATATAAAAATAATGAAATAACAAATAATCTTTTAAACAGGAGAATGATGTAATAAATAATATGTAACGTGATTAAAAAGTTGATAGATGAAAATAAAGATTGACATATGAAAATTGTAATAGACGGATGTGAGTCACAGCTGACAAACAAAACGACAAGTTTTCCACCTATAAAACGAATAAATAGTGATATTTATACATTTTTATTCATAAATATACTACGCTCAAGTTAATAAAAAAAATAAATTAGACACGCATTTAAAGTACGATAAATACTCCTTTTAACCCTTATCTTAGTTATTTATACTAATACAATATCATCGTATACATTGTTTACTAATATACGATTACGATATAATTTAAAAGTTATGGCACAGGTAATATAACCTCTAATAAAACTCTACTATCCTTACTATTATTCACATGGTGACCGTAGGTTTTCTTGGCTTGCTTATTTGTCATTGTTAATTGTTGTATTTTTTTTTTTTTGGCTATAATGCCACTTGTACCACGTTGTACCATATGTTTATATGACATGTAGTTTAAATTTTTTATACTTCAAAAATATTATAGAAGTAGAATTAATATAATTATTTTGTATATAACATTTTTTTTTATTTTTAAAATTTTCGAATATATTTATATATCCTCTACGAATCCTTTAAAGACACATATTTAATATGCAATCAAATTCATTAATGATTTTTATTTTTTTCCTTTCAGAAATAAATTTTGTTGCTTTGTGAAAGAAATCATATTGTTGCTTGAGAAAATATTGATACAATTAATTTACGCAAAATATTCCTAATGTAGAAATGTTAATTTTCTTCCTTTAATGTGTGAATTCATATAGTATTTCAGATATATAGATATGCACACACACACACATATATATATAAGTAAAATCCAGAATTTATACATGGCAACTCATTATCTTAAATTATTTTATATTTTATATTTAGTATGATATATGTATATAGTTATCTACTTAAAATTTTTTAGATATAAACTAAATAGTTAAAATATAAAAATAAATATGGGTATAATAATATTATTATATGATTAATTTTTAGTTAGCTGTAATTCTTGAAATTAAGTACCATATAAATATTTTACTACATATTTTGGTCTCATATCTTCTTCATTTCATAATATTTCAGTAAAACTAAGTTTTTTTTTTTACATTTTCATTAGAAACTTTTCTGTTTCTATTAAAATAATTGTTTTATTTTTATATAATTAAAAAAAGATTATATTATATCTATTAACATATGATACAAGTCTTTAAAAATTACGTGTCATGATTGTAAATTATTATTATTATTTTTAAAAAACTAGGTAATTAATCCACGTGGAATGGATATTAAATATGTGCATGTATGAGATTCTTGAACATAAATAATTATGTGGGTAATCAAAAATTTGGTTCATATACTAGTAACTTATGAATGTGTGGGCTAAGCTCTAGCAAGTATATATCGAATTTACAAATGTAAGTGTCCATTGATATATAATAATTAAGTATATTATTTTTTATACTCTATATAAATTTAAAATTATTAAATTATAAAAATTTATTTAACTATTATGATTTTTATGAAATCGTTTAACATAAGAACGCTAGTATTTCAAATAATTCGAAGATCACATTCATTAATTCGCAAACGCATAAGCAATTCGAACATAACGAGTAAGGCCAATCTCGAGACAATTAATGAAATCACAAGCTAATCTAATATGCAACTGTACATTTAAATGGGTTTGCTGCTCTTTTTTTTTTGTAATAACTTTCAAAACTATCCTATAACCCACAAGAAAACTTAGTAATCATAATTAAATCAAAATTTAATTGAAATTAAAACTCTATAATTAAAGTATATTAGTAAATCCTGATTTTTTTTTTTTTTTAAAATAAAAAAGTTAAAATTAGTAAATGATGGGGAGAAGTTGATGGGAGCTAAATTTGGTAATTCATTAATTGTGTTGACTTTTGGAGACTGCCTTCCACTCCACTCTGAAAAGTTAACTCTTCTAAAATGGACCCATCAACTAATTACTGTCAGTAAAATAATCGTAGCTCTTAATTTCTTTGAAGCTTTTTAGAACATTCATTACATTTAGCATCTCCATGCTGGCTAATTTTCAGAATTTTAAAATTTATTTTTCTCCTTAATTATCTCCAAATTCTTGAAAGTGTTTTTATCAGAGTTAAAACATGACTTTAAATTCAGTAATTTTATTAAATCAAATATTATAAATTAAATAAATTTTTACCTTAATCATTATAAGTATTTAAATCTTGTAATAAAGTAATTTTTTAAATTAAATTAAAAATCAAAATAAAATAAAATAAATTTATCATTTAAAAATAAAATGAAACTAAAAATATATTTATTTAAAGTTTAAAAATTAAAACTAAAAGTGTTATTATTTTATATATGCAAAAAAAAAAAAAAAAAAAAAAAATCTAACGGAATCAAATTATTCTGTAATTAATTTTTAATACTATTTTATATTTTATATTTTTAATTTATGAGTTTGACATATTTGATTTATTTGTATATTAAATATTTATACATAATCCGCACCTGTTAGATGTTTTTAAAAAACAATATACTATTTGGATCTTTTCTTCAGCCAAGACAATTATTTACTATACTTATATATATATATGCGTCGACTTGTATCAAATTTCACGATTCGCTTTCAATTATAAGAATTTGGAACTTGCATTATCATATTGGACTTAACCCAGTTCATACATCATGCTGGCATATATATATATATATATGTATATTGATATCATTGTTATGGAGAGCATTTCTCTGATGATCCCAGCTGCAAGAAGGGAAAAAAGGAATGAGTATAGTTAATTATAATATGTGCGATGGTGTATATTTCTAAATTAATCAAATATAAACAATATATATATATATACTCTAAAAAATAGTCACGTACCACACAGTCATGTACATCATCGCGGCCGCATTGCAGCTGACCGTTCAGCATATCCAAAGCTCGAAATGCTCCTCCTCCATCACTTCTCTGCATCACCCAAACAAATCATTCTAAGAATAAAATATTCTGTAATTACTTACTGAAAAAGTTAAAAAAGTTTTCGAGACCTTGTAATAATCCACAGCTACAAAATTAGCCCATCTGTTGCCCGCAGCAGCAAAACAAGTTTTGAGCATATCATTAAGGTCTTCTGAATTGTCTATACAACTCAACTCCTTTACTGGAATTGTTTTGAAGTGATTTACCAGCACCAGTGATTTGCTCTTGTCGTTCAATCCCGCTGATTCTTCCCGGTTACTGCAACTCCCCGATTCCTCTCCTTGAGACCCATCTGAAATTTTTTCTTCCATGTTAAGGTTTTCGGGAAAAATGGCTCCGTGAATTATAAGATATCATTCATTTTAAACAAAAATTTATATATTTTAATAATTAGATGATACTTTTGAATTACATATTGTATAATTTGAATTAGGCACTTACAGTGATTTTCAACCATGTAATTCCACTGGTAAGCGATTCCCTCGGTTTGTTGCTTGGCACGAGCTGAGGTGAAGACGATGAGGCGGTGATTATTTGCAATCATGTCTTTGACAAGAGGCCAGTCTTCACCATTTTGAGGCATTTTGGAAACAGGAAACCAGTACTTCATCAACCCCGAATCCTTGAAAACTTTGGTCAACCCATTTGGGGTTTTAACATAATCCTCTAGGATTAATGTCACAATTTCTGATGGATTTGCTGCCAAGAAAGCCTCTACTTCTTTCAAAGTGTCTATAGCAGGTTCCTATGGTAATAAAATATATATAAGAATAATCACATCATTTTGTTTTCTCTATAAGACTGTGTGTCTTGAATTTTTGTATATATTTATTCAGAGGTTATGTTGTACTGTGTTATGATTAATACATTAAAACAAATAGTTATTCAGTGTCAATTTTAGTTATATGCATATACTTACAAAAGCAGTAAAATCATGGCATTTTCCTTGAAAAGAATGGCACAACCAGACATCTCCTTTGAAGTCGTAAGTGTCCAACATTAAAGCTCGAACACCGTTCTGCAGATAACATATATATATATATATATATATAGAGAGAGAGAGAGAGAGAGAGAGAGAGAACAAAATAAAAAACTCAATGAAATTAATGGAGAATATTATATATATATATATATAGGAAAATAAATATTAATAAATAATATGACTTACGGTTAATTGTTGGGTTACAGTGTCTTCTTGATTAGTAATTGTGACTCGGGGAATTCCAGTGTGGGGAGGCTCTCCGCGAATGGCAAAAGAGTTGTGAGTTGTTAAGAAAGCGTATTTGTTGAATGGTAACGAGTTGTTCTGAAACGACCAAACTCGTTACGTTACAAGATGGTCTCTGAATTCTAAAGTCTAATTGAGTATAAGTATATCTCCTCTTTAATTTTGGTCAAAATTTCACATGTTTTCTTTTTATAAAGATTTTTGTTGTATACCCTTGAATCTAGACACTTGTTTGTAATTTACCCAAAAATTAGTTCTAGCACATCTCGAGTTTTGATCTTGTTAAAGTTTCTTTCACAAATAAGGTAAAAAAAAAAAAAAAAAAAAGGAGCTTAATTTCTGGTTTGATTAGAAATGGATTGAGTTTTGAGATTTACTTTTTCTTACAGTGGGTTGGAGAGTCGTAGTTTAATTACCAGGAGCTTGAATTGGTCTGTGTAAATTGATCTCACACATCTTGAAGGGCCAAGCGCGCAAGAAAAGCAATACAGTCCAGCGCCGCAGTCTTTGTCTGACGCACATTCCTCTCCAATCTACTATCACAAAAAAACAATATATATATATATATATATATCCACTGAAAAATGAGAAAAAAAAAAGAAGATTTGTACCGAGTTTTAGAATGTAACAGACAGTAAAATATAAGTATATACCAGACAACCTCCATTAATAGAGCAAGCAAAGGAGACGATAAAGAACATTATTGATGATATGATCCAAGCCACCTCTCCCATTGGACAAATCGTCATTTCCTCAGAAAATGCAAACTGGGTTTGGAGCACTCAAAAGAGTTTGTACGTAAAATATACATATATATATATATATATGTATGTATGTATGAAATTTATTTTTCATAAATTGAAAGACAGACATGACACATGTATTTTATAGCCTTTTCAGTGTTTGGTAACGTAAAAAAGTTTTGTCTGCATATATAATATATATGGAAAAAGAAGACTCTATAATGAAGATGTAATTACTTATACAATTTATTTGAAGACATTAAACAATTAGGATTCGTGGGCTAAGATAGCCTCAATTGCCGGAATGGGTAAGGGTTTAATCATGCAAAGATTATCTCAGAAAATTAAGGGATTCTTACGTCCTTGTGGAATGGAAAACTAATTATTACCTTACCATTTTTTTATGTATATATATATATATATATATATATATATTGCATGTTTTAGCTCCTAAAATAAAGTTGCAGACTCGTTATTCCTCGTTGGGCTTTTCGTCTAGTCATAAATTTCACAAAGTGCCTACTTGCAGATCAATTTAATTTATAAAAAATTTATTTTATTTTAATGCTTATTAAGTGACTTATTAATTGTAAATTTAGTAATCATCATCTGTTTAATTTTAATTGTTATTATTGTCATTGATTAGTTGTTTAATGTATACTAATCTTTTTTTATACTAATGAAAAATAATTAGAAAATTTTGAAATAAGATATAAATATAATTAAAAACTACAAATAATAAAAAAGAATTTACTCTTATTAAATTGTATGGTTTTATAGCATACGTTTTATTTGTGGCTATAAGCTAGTACCCTTACGAAAGTCAAATTGAGCCAAAATAAATACTAATTTGACTGAAAAATAAGCTACAGTAAGTAGTTTGTTTTTATTTTGATCTGTAAGACACTAAACTATAATCAAATGGGCTAAAACAAGGTAACTTTATTGGCTTTGTTCTAGAGAAGCTTCTTCAACAATGGCTTCTCCTTGCTCCATGGATTCTACTAAAAAGACAAAAACTATGTATTCTATCTCTTCTTCAACCTCACTATCAATTAGCAAAGATAAGGAAGCACATAGGCTTATATATAGTACTAGAAGAACTGCCACAAGCTGCTTGAAGTTTTTTTTTTTTTTTTTTTTTAATAAAAGGAGCCAACGAAAAATTTTTGACCATCTTGGAACAAACGCCAACATACTTGAGTTCATCTTGTTCTCCAGCAAATTTACAGAAAAATATTAACCAGAAAGCATGAAGAGATAGTTGATGAATAGATGGAGAAATGCCAGTTTCGGATACTCCCGAGCAAGATGATAAAAACTTAACAGTGCCGAAGTAAAATTGGTTCTATTTTGCAATTATAAGTAAATTCTATATATAAAAAATTAAAATTTAAGAATAAAACAAAAAAAAAAAAAATACAATGAAATAAAATGTAAGAATAATCTCTCCCTCTTTTAGATGGAGATAAGACATCATTGAATCTCCACCTACAAATATATAAAATGACAATTAGTTAGGAGGCAGAAAATAGTTGGAGTAGTTGATAATCTAATAATGGTTATCAGAGTAAGATCGATACCTATTTTGCCTTGTAAAAGTCACAGAGGAATTAAATAGAAGATTATTTCTCTCTCCCAGCTTTCTTTTTTCTTTGTGCTTCCACTCTGTGTCAGATCTCCTCTCTGTTATTCTTCTTCCGCAACTTTCCCTTGTGTTTTAATTCTTCACATAACAAAAAACCAGCCTTGGACGATCAAGTCTGGTAACTTTGTGAGCTAATATAATTTTCTGATCTCCTAAAAATGTCATGCAAGAGATCTATGGATTCGCATTGCATCGCAGAGTCTCACAGCATCTAAATTATCTCTCACATTATGTACTCTTACAATGTTTGCACCTCCCAGTACACCGGCAGTTACAGAAGCAACAGTTGCAGGATCCCGCTCCACTGCAGCAGAGCGACTACAAATTTCACCTAAGAATCTCTTTCTTGAAGGCCCAATCAATAGAGGAGCATGGGATACCGCCAAACTTTTCCTTGCCATTTCTGCTCGAAGTGTTGGTAAACCCATAAGGATATCCAAATTATCTGCAGTCTTCTTTGAAAATCCAATTCCAGGGTCAATAATAATGCTCCAAGCTGGAACACCTGCTAGTTCAGCATCTCCAACTCTGGAATACAGTTCAGAGGCAACCTGCTTGCAGACATCATCATACTGCAGGTTCTCATTATTTTGCATTGTACATGGGTCCCCCCTCATGTGCATAGCTATATAAGGAATCTTGAGATTGGCAACAACTTTGTACATGTTAGGATCTAACTGTCCAGCAGATATATCATTTATAAGATGAGCTCCCTTACTGACTGCTTCTGAAGCAACTTCCGAATAGAAAGTATCTACGGATATAAGTTTTCCCTCCATCTCAGGCATTCCTACAACAGCCTCTAAGATGGGAAGTAGTCTATGTAATTCTTCTTCAGCTGAAAGCTTAGAGGCCATTGGTCGTGTAGATTGTGCACCGATGTCAATGATATCTGCCCCTTGTGAAATCATTAAGCGAACTTGAGATACTGCAGCCTCCACTGATTGGAACTTCCCTCCATCACTGAAGCTATCTGGGGTTAAATTAAGTATACCCATTATAGAAGTTTTCTGTGACCAGTCCCACAACTGATTCCCAATTGGCAAAACCCTTCTCATTCCTTCCTTCCCAACAAGGGATTCACCTCCCAATTTTTTCCATGCTTCAACAAGTCCGCCAGAATGAGCTGAAAAAGAATGCCAGTAACCAACTGTATCATTGTCAATAGTTGATCCCAGTAAATCCATCAAGGGGGCCATTACAAAGGGTCTTTCCCAAATTCTCTCATGTGGTACAGTAAGTATATCAGAACTAACTCTGAACTTTCCATAGAACAGTATATCCAAATCTATTGGTCTTGGACCATATCTTATACCATCAGTACGACCAATTTCTTTCTCAATTTTCTTAAGATTGCCTAACAATTCATGCGGCCCAAGTTTTGTAACAGCTCTAACAGCAGAATTGAGAAAGCGAGGCTGATCAGTCACATAGGCAGGCTCAGTCTCATACAAACAACCGTGTCTTGTAATGTGTATGCCTGATTTCTTCATTAACTGCATTGCTTCATGGAAGTTATGAAGTCTGTCACCTACATTACTTCCCAAAGCAATCACTACTTCCTGCTCAGGAGACTGAACTTCCACTCTCCTAAGTTTGGATGAATTGAGAGAGAAATTGCAAAATGCTGCAAGGAGAGTAAAACTATATATCATAAATTGAATTCCAATAACCTCTATTATACTAGTGGAGACCATGATATAGATACTGATATTAATCTTTTATTTATCACAAATATTCCATTGGCTTTTCAACATTGTCCTAATTCTTTTCTTCTTTTGGATAGAAACAAAAAAAAAAAATCATCTAAATTTCCTACAAGGAAAACTTTGAGAGCTGAAACGGATTCATAATTTAAGAAACAATCGTCTTGTAATAGCCTTTAAGAATCTAAGCTTTAGTACTTCTCTCTTCTTGTCACTATATTCAGGACAACAATTTTCAACTTCTTGACCTACAGGTCATGGGAAGCATCTACAAATCCATAAAACATTACTTCCATAGTTGTTCTAAAAAATTACTTTCGTAACAAGAGTGGAATTTACTTTGTAATGTCAATCCCCATGAAAACGAGGGTCTTGGCAGTACGCATACAATCTACAACATAAAACATCAATTAATCAATCTGAAATTTTTACCTCTATAATACTTCAGGGCACCACTAAATCCAGGGTTTGCGGGAAAAAGATGCTTGATAGAATTCATATTACAGGACGCAAGTAAATTCGAATTTGCTACTGTAAAGTCCAGTCTCTCGTATGCAGCTACAACACAAACAAGAATATTGATTACTCTCTTCGATCCTCTGTATTGATTACCACAGAACTACAAGATGCTACTCTCCCACTTGACAAGCCAACCAAACAGAAAATGTTGCATGATGGGAACCTTCCCGAGCACCTTGACCGTTCCCCAATTCCAATTTAGCCCACCGCAAACATCGCTCAGCAACAACAGGGAAGCATTGATAGAAGTCAGAAATCTAATGGGTGCAGATAAAATGAAGCCGAGGAAGTTGCGGCAGGCAGAGCAGTGGATTCAGCATATGTTGAGGCTGTTCTCTTGGAGCAGATTTGGAACTGGTGGGAAGATGAGATAGAGGCGAACTCTGCACTAGGGGTTGGGGACAAGAGAGACAACAGCAAGGAAACAGACAAAAGAAAGAAGAAACAAGAAATCAACGAGGTGAACGAGGGAGGGTAAATTGAGGCTTAGCGAAGTTGATTCACGTGTGAGAGATGAACCGGATAAATTTAATTGATGATTAATTAATATACCACAATAATAATAATTAAATGATAATAATATATAATGAGAAAGATACAATTTTTTAATATTTAAATAATTATATATTTTTATTTAGATGATAAGATAATATAATTATATTTTTAATTTATTTTTATTTATTATGTAACAGTTTCAGAAATTAAAATGAAGATGTATGTATTAAAAGTTCTAAGTGAGGAAGCGAAATAAAAATTCTGATTAACATCTCTTACACAATAACAAAAAACGTATCCAACGTATTAAAGAATAAGTTAATTAAAAGAAATACTCGAAATAAAAACTATAAATAGAACTATAAAATCTTTACGCGTCTAACTCGCCGTCTTCCTGCGAAACGGGCTCAGGAATCACGTCTTCCTGATCTGAAATGGTTAAGTAAAGAATGAGCTACACTAGTTCAGTAAAGACACCACACTATCTCACTGCCACAGAAGTAAAAGTTGGTAGAAAACAAAAACGACCAATGGAGCATAATTTATAATAAACTCATTTATTAATGATAAAAATATTTACTGTCCACTTACCTCGGTGAGATTTGTGAAAATAATATATAAAAACAATAACATTATAACTATCATAAAATCATATACACTTTGTAACATAACACATGTTATACTTTTGTACTTCAATAATCAGACAACAAATTTTCTCTTTTACCAGCCTACTAGTATCCGTGGGGATCCATAGGGGGTCCCCGCTACACGTGAACCATTAACATTAATAATCTGATTCCAGGGCCGTCCCCATACCCCGTCCGGTATGGGCGCAAAAACCATGAATCTCAATACCCCGTCTGGTATGAGGGTGAAATGGGTCGTCCCCACACCCCGTCCGGTATGGGCGCCAAAATTATAAACCTCAATACCTCGTTCTGTATAAGGGTGAAACGGGCCGTCTCCATACCTCGTCCGGTATGGGCACCAAAATCATGAACCTCAATACCCCGTCTGGTATGAGGGTGAAACGGGTCGTCCCCACACCCCGTTCGGTATGGGCGCCAAAACCATAAATCTCAATACCTCGTCTGATATGAGGGTGAAACGGGCCGTCCCTGTACCCCGTCCAGTATGGGTGCCAAAACACATAAGGTCTCCATACCCCGTCTGATATGAGAGACCACATTCTCGGTAGGGTTTCCTATGGATCCGGTCCGTCCACC